CTGGCTCTCAAGAACACCCTTCAAATCTGATCGTCTCTTTCCCCAGGTGGGCAATGCCAAAGCCTCTTGCCAGGGACAAACCCTGGCTAATTCTGGCAGCTCCAGACTCCGCTTTGTTTCAGGTTTTTCTTCCAACAGGCAAATTGCCTTCATTAACGCCGAGACTTGAGGTACAATATAGCTAATTCCTGTGAAATATCTCAGTAAGGTAATTTGCTCCAAGTGCTCCCCCCATTAGCAGCTGGTTAGCGAATAAATAATTTCCAGTGGAGAACTGCACAAATTGAACCCTGACGGCAATGAAAAGACTAACGAGACCGGGCAGCAATTTCTTACCAATTAGCAATTAAGCCACAGAGGCTCATGATGGTCAGAAGTGGAGCTACTAAAAACCTGGCTGAAATATTCACAAGTGCAGTGCTAGAGAACGTGTCCCTTGGTGGCTCCGCAAAGTGTTTTGAGGAAAAGCTCACAAAACAGCGCAGCAACCTAATAAAAATCTGCATTAAAAGGAAAAACCCGGCAGTCGCCAGCCTGTGTCCCAGGCTAACTGCTCCTTTCTTGCCTCTTTCTGTGTTCCCTCGGAACAGATTTCATGCTGCCCGCAGCTCTGCTGAAGGCAGAGGGGTGGTCCAGGCGCCCGCTCGCTCTGCTGCGGCCAGGAATTTCTTAGGGGAGGCAAAATAGTAGGTTGGCTTTTTTTGTTGTTTTGTTTTGTTTTGCAAAGCCAGGAACTCCATCTTAGCTCTTCAGCCCGTTGTTAGGGTTTGTGTTATTCTTGGCATGCTGACCGGAGTGCGCTTGGTATGAATAGCAGAGAGCTGAAAAGTAAATATTGTCTCCTCTGGGAGCAGCAGAGAGGGGAGGGGGGTTATATTGCTTAATGGAGCACCCCCAGCGCCTGTTTGGGTTAGGCTTAGAGTAATTGTGCCCTAGGTGAGTTTATACCAACAATTGATCGTTTCAGATGGGAAAGAAGTACAAATGAGTAAGAGAATAAACACTGACAGTGTTACGAAATGCAGGAGAGGTGAGCAAAAATCCCATGCAGCTCAAGCGTGGGGCTGAAAGCAAAGCTGGCCAGAAAACAGGGGATACTGTTTGCTCTGCATGCAATTTCTCATGAACGCTGAACGACACAAGGAAAGAAATTGAATTTTCTCCTCCAGCTCAAGCTACAGAACTGCTTTCCACAGCCTGATCTTCTACAAAAGAGTTCCAGGAGACCCCTCTACTCTCCCTTCTCCTCCTCCACCCTGGAAAAACATGGGGCACTTGGCAAGAGCAGCACTTTGCTGTGAGCAAACGGGTGAGAAGGCAAGGAGCAGGAAGCCCACAGGTGTGACGGATGAGTAACCTTGGTGCAAAACCTGCCATCCGCTTTCACAGACCCTGGCTGGGGCCACTGCAGCTCTCTTGTGGGGGGCAAAGCCCACGGCCCACAGGCCCTGGTGCTGGCGGGGCTGGTCCCCTGCTCCCTGCACTGTGTCCCCCCCCTCACTGTGTGTCACAGCAGCGTGTTCTCATGTGCCACATGCCCAGGGCTGCCTTTCACCCACCACATCTTCAGAGGTGCCCTGGCCAACCTGCAACCAGGCTCCAGAGTGTGCAGATCCTCTCAGCCAGGCAGGGGACCAGCGCTGGCCCGAGGACATGGCACCAGCCCTGGGGACCAGGAGCTGCCGGCCAGCCCCAAGGTCCCTGCTGCAGGGTCACCACTGCCAAACTGCAGTGCCCAGCAGCAAACTGGTGCTGCTTAATGCTTCCTGACCATCTTTACCGTGCTTGTGCTAGGGGCTGCTGGTGCTGGATGTGAGACCAGGAGGGGATGCTCAGGTTTGACCTCGTGTGCCTGGAGCAGTGTCTGCCCAAGGCTGGGGCTGCGCAGCAGGAGGGTGTTGGAATGTGAGGAGGGATGGGGATGGAAAGTCCCCATTTTTCCAGAAATTACTGCCAAAAAGAGGGCATGGGATGGCCCAGAAGCCACCAGCCAGTTGGGCAGAGTGCAGGAACTGCCTGTGGGGTGAAGGCTCCCTGGGCAGGCGGTGCCTGCAGGGGGATGATGCCACCTCCACCAAGCACAGCGACTTCTGCTTCTGCCCCAAAGTCACACCTGAAAAGGCTGAGCCAGGAGCCCCACGCCGCTCAGCCCCAGGCTGCTGCGGCGGCTTCTGCAGCTGAGCTCATTAGTGCCTGCAATCAGCAGGGCATGAAGGGGAGATAATCACACAGGCAGCACAGCCCCGGCTGCGTGCAGGGTCTATATTTAGCACGGTGCGGGTCTGCATCGCCCGCGGCGCTGTCACGGCCCCGGGGAGCGTGCGGGTCGGGGCTGCGGGCACTGCTGTGCGGGGAGCTGCGCTGCTGGGCCAGCTGCGCTGCCTGGGGAAAACCATCCCCAGCTGAATTCAATGTTCCACTTGCTACCTTTTTCCCAGCTGAACAAAATGCGGTGAGTTTCCCAGTGGACAGCCATTTTACACAGAAAAAAACAAAGTAAGTTTTTTGCAAAATACCCAAGCAAAAGGTTTCAGCCTGGAGGCCAGAGTGGCCACATGCAGGTGTACCCCCACCCCCAGGACCCCACAGAGAGGGAAAGGTGCTCCCAGCCCCACGGAGAGCATCCCCTGGCAGCAGCTGCCCAGCGCCTGGCCCAGCTCCAGGGGCAGCTGTGGGGCAGGGGGGCACTTGGCCCCACACAGCCTGGCTCCTGAGGCTGACATGGCAGTGCCATCCCAAACCCATCAGGGTGCTTTGGGCCGGCCCCGACACCCAGAGCCACCCCAGAGCTGCTCAGCCCCGTGGAAAAGCTGCGTTTGCTCATCGCCTGCCGCTCCCCAGGGCCGGTGACACGAGCCACCTGGCCTGTATTTCCAGCAGGGCCATTTCCAAACTGACAGTGAGGTCCTGCCCTGGCACACGAAGCCCCATGTGTCACTGGTGCCACTGGCATATCCTGGCTGACGAGTGCAGGGCTGAGTCCCCGCAGCAGCAACCTGGGCATGGCAGGGACTGTGCACATGGGGCAGGAGCTGCTTGGGGCAATCACAGAGGCCTTGGGACATGCCAGGGTGGTGACAAAGAGCTGATGCCAGCCATGGGACTGTGACACTGCACCAGGAAGCCCTGCCCTCTCTGTTTTGCCCAGCAAGCCCAGGAAAGCAGTGCGGCACTGCCAGGGCAGGAGTGAGGTGGGTGGCTCCTAGGGCTGCTCTCAACCACACAACTTGGGGACGTCCCCACCCAGCTCACACCTAAATCAGAGTGGGCACCAACCGAGCAGTGTCTCTGCAGGGTCCCCAGGTGGGTGCATGCTTTCTGGGCATGGCAGCAGCTCTGGCTGGCTGAGCCGCTGCAGACCCTCCCAGTCCTTCAGGGTGCACCATCACCTGCCCTGCTAGAGCCTCCAGTGCCCTGGCTGCTCGACTTGCCTTGCCCACCAAGGCCTGATCACCTTGGGTCTTGGTGAAAATGTGAGTCTAACACAGCAGGCTATTGCTTCTTTCACCAGCCCTTAATCACCTCTTCACAGTTCCTTCTCCAGGGATGTGAAACTACTTAAAGCAGAACTTCTGTGCTATTTGGAAATGGATTGATTGAGCAAATCAGAGTGAGCAGGGTGAGGGCTGCAGCCTGCATCTCAGCCTGCATCTCAGCCTGCCATTCCTCTGACACAGGGTTGAGGCAGGAGAGTCTCTCCCTCTAGAGAGATAAACATTCATTCACAGACAGAGGACAGAGCCCAGAAAACCCTTGCCACACGCTGCACAGGCTGTTATTAGGTTAAGCCATAATTGAGTCCCCATCCCTCTCTTGCATGTGCACACCACACAGATGTGCACACCACACAGATGTGCACACCACACAGATGTGCACACCGACGTGCACACACACAGGCACACGCCAGCTCAGTGTCAAAAAGCAGGACTGAAAGTGGGCTAACGCGCGTGTGCATCTCCTCTGACAGAGACCTGCGCGGGAGCTTGCACGCACCGGCTGAGACAGGATTTATTTCGGGGGCAGAGCGCTCATGCCTGAAGCACAGGCACTTCCTGGCTCCTTCCAAACCAACCCTGGCTACAGTGAACATGGTAAGTTCTTTAAAATCCAGTCTGTGTGGCGGCCCATTCACTTGCATCTCTCGCTCAGGACAGATGTGGGATAACCACAGCGATAAGCTACGGGGGGCAACACATTCAGCTGCCCAGCAGACAGACATCAACTACTTTTTAATCACGGTAAGAGCAGCACAAAACCTCCTGTCACACAGGACTTCAGTTGTCCCACAGAAAAGCAGTCAAATGTGTTTAATATCTGCAGTTTTATTCTCGTACAAAAGGTTAAAGGCAAAGCTAGAAAAATGAACCTATTGCTACACGCTCACTGAACACTTTTAAGACAAGATAGGGCAGTAAAGCTTTTATTGCTAAGGAGAACCAACGGAAGGCTTTAAAGCTCATCTACCATTCAGTTTTTGTTTGTAAGAAACCAACTCAATTTAAAGCAGCTTTTCAGTATTTAAAACGCTCTCTCTCGCCTTTCTGGAATGCTTCAAAAGGAGAATGACCTGAGGACGGTGTCTGCTCTCCAGAGGGACCAGACAGATGACCTGTGTGAGGTGCAGACATGGGCCACCGAGGAATGCCAAAATGAAACCCAACTGCCTGTTGCTGATCATCAGACAAGGCAAGGCTGGACATGGAGCAGCACCCTGCCATGTGCAAAAGTACCAGTCACCTGATGGCCCCTTGGCTGTCCCCATGCCCCAGTGACTGTGGCACAGATGGGCACCATGGGCTTGTCCCAGGAGCTGAGCCCTGGGCATGGTGACTGTGGATGTCCTGCTCCAACTACCGGACTGCACTTCCTTCTGGAGGGGTGAGGCTACAGGCAGTGGGATACTGAATGCTCTTGGGATCCCTAGGGATCCCCCTGGGATGCAATGGATCAGGGCTGGCCACCCTTCCCGAGGGACTGCTCATGCAGCCGCTGTGGCTTTGCAGGGCTTGCTGCAGTCAGAGCTGCTCCTGGGGTGTCCTAGTCTTCAGGGATTGGGGTGTTGCAGTTCCCGTGGTAAATTTTGACCTCACCCTCACACTGGAAGTACTGGTCAAACACGTCGCTGTATCCATGGTCCCTCCACCACGTGCAAAGCTGCCGGTTCCAGGTGCAGTCAAGCACATGGAAGAGCTCTGGGTGCTCCATCCCCACCATAGTGAAGAAATCTTGGTCCCCGAGGTGGCCCTTGAAGTGGTATTTCTCTGTCAGCTTCTGCACCATGGTGGGCTCCAGCAGCTGGTTGTAGAGCTTGGACTGCCTCATGGCTTCCAGGTTCAGGAGCAGGACACCACTGTTGAAGCCGGGCAGCCCGTCAGGAGGGGGGTCCCCCACTTTGGTTTGGGGGTTCTCACGGCGATACTGCCAGAACGTGTGCCTGCAAAGAGAGGAAAAACAGGAACAGGGGAGTCAGGGAGTGCAGCCCAAAGAGCAGCCACCTCAAGTCTGGGCAGGTCTGGATCACAGCACCAGATCCACCACCCACCCAAGGGATCTTGCCATGCTTGTCTTCTGCACCCAGAGCAGCCTCGTACTTCACAGGCTGCGTCTCCCTCCATCCCCCTGCAGAGGATACTGCCCAGACCTCAAACCATTCTTCCTGCTCTCTCCTAAACCCCCTTTTGTTTCTACCAGCATCGCTCTGGTGAGCCAGCTGGACACAGGATCGCATGACCGCTCACATGGCTGTGTGGGGAGACAAAACCACATGCCCAGTCCTAGGGAGAACCACCAGAAGTGCCCCCACGGCTGGTACATGCCAGAAAAATGTCCTGCAGTTAATGGGATCTTGGCAGCAGAACTTGCAGCATCATTATTATTATTTGATTATAAGGAAGCTCTGGATCAAAGATGAGCCCCAGTTTGAGGCTATGCAAAAAGAAGGCTTGAAAGAAATCTGTGTGGCAGAAATATTTATTCAAAATAAAAATAATAATAAAAAAGAAATCCAATGGCAACATCTCATTAGCTAAACAAGCACTGCCTTCAGCATTTGCAGCCCTAGGAAGGTTCAGCTGTAGCAGCTCCAACAGATGCAATCTTCACCAGCTAATTTCCAGCTGCCAAGGAGAAGAGAATGGTGCAAGTCCAACAATACACAACGCTAACTCCAGAGGGTGATTCAAATGGGAAAAATTTAGACTACCTAAGTAAGCAGCCCAAAAATGTCTTTGGCTCCTTCCTCAGCCCTGGGGCAGTGAGCACACCCCACCATACACACACCGGCTGCTCCTTGCAGGAATTGAATCCATCGCAGGCTACTACCAAAGCTGCTGGGGTTGGATCTGCCCCAAAGATCGCTCCCATTCAGACTGAAAGTCTTCTGCCCCAGGCAGCATCCTCTGCTGCACGGCCAGGCAGCGGGGAGCTGGCTGAGACTGTGGTTCAGAGGGCAGGAGGGACCCACAGTCCCCACCCCACCGTCTGACAGCCCAGGGGTGCCAGCACTGCGCTCTCCTTCCAGCTCTAACACTTAAGATAAATCTACAGCAGGGTTGTTGGGGTTTTTTGTTTGTTTGTTTGGTTGGTTGGTTTTTTTACCTTGTCATGAAGATGCCAGGGAGAAGCACTGTTAGAAAGAATAAGCCAGGCCTGCCTCTGGTTCCTCTCCAAATGTCAGACACTGACCAAAGTCTCCAGGCACCTCCAGGAAACAAGAATTTGCTGGTAGATGGTGAGGATTTAGCACCTAAAGGTTTAAAGCAGTCTCATGCTTGGAAGCTGAAGCTGGGCTAATTCAGATGTAAGAAGATGGAGGGACATTAGCCCCTGGCACAGCTCCAGAGTCACGGTGGGTACTGCCCCACTGCAAACATTTACATTGACATTTTTCTTGTAAGAAGCTGTGTTCAGCTCCAACAGGCACTTCCTCAAGGAATCCTACAGCCTGTACAGAGATCAGACTACTAAATCCATTCTTCTGGCCTGTCCTCTGGATCCCCAGCACAGCACTGCGAGACTGGCCAAGGCGAGAGCGAGGATTCAATAGCCACCAGCAGAATTATCCCAGCAGAAAATGTGGATCTATTAATGATGTCAACCACGAGGACCTTTTTCATTTCCTGATCTGGAGAACCACAACCATCACACAGCATCACTTCCTTGCAACTTTCCATTTAGATGCTTTAGATTCAAACCTCTGATATTTCTCATTTCATTAAGGGTCTTTATATCGCTTCCTTTTGCCTGATTCAGGATGGAAAGGGTTTTCCAAGTGCCAGTTTTCCATGGAAGGAGGGCTCAGCTGTCTCCATGCCTCCCAGGGAAGGGGAGCAGAGGACTGGGTGCCTCATCAGAGCTGGTGGGCAGCAGTGCTTGTTTGGTCTGAAGGGCAGGGAAGGGATAAAAGGGCTCTGCCTCTGCAAACAGCAGTGATGTCTTGGGGACAGGCACCGGGCCACTGTGAAGGCAGCTGATGGATGCTCATGAGAAAAGGAAGGCAACGCTCTCTCCACACAGCATTAGAGGAAAGCTCAACCTGCAAAGACAAGACCCAGCCTTGCACCGATCAACTCCCAAAGGGCTCTGGTCCAGGGGTCTGAGCACAGACTGGCTCAAGCCCACCTCTGCATGCTCTGCTCTCTCTGTCTCTCCCTGGCAGCACCAGGCAAGCCATCCTCCTGCCCAAAAAATCACAGAATCACAGAATGTTAGGGATTGGAAGGGACCTCGAAAGATCATCTAGTCCAAGCATCAAAAAATGATGCTGGAAGGTGGCAGGAGGGAGCAGTGCTGTGGAGGGAGGTGCCTTTCCAGCTCCACACCAGCGGAGCTGACTCCCTTCACATTCTTACCTCCGAAAACACACTGCCCAAGCGAAGGGACAAGATTACAGCCCCTGCAAGCAGCTAGAATAGGGAAAACACAAGTGCCCCAGCCCTGGGCAGAGCCAGGTCACAGCGATCCAAAAGCAGATCTGTATCAAATGACTCAATTTTTCAGCAATGCCGTTCCCCAGCGGATTACTTGGCGACGGCTGATAATGAGAAGGGAGCAACGTCCTCTTGTCTGCAGAGAGAGGAGACAGACTGACAAGCAGCAATTGTTCAGCCCTTCCTCCCGGCGCAGGCGTGACGCAGCCATCCTCCCCCAGCCACGCGTGGGGACCCCAGGGGAGCAGGGCTGGGGTGAGGAGGACAGGGTTGTCCCCGAGGAGCGATGCTGGGGTGAGATCCAGGATGTGATGAGCTGCAGGCAGCTCCGCAGGGCCAACAGCTTGGGAATCTGCTCAGAACACCGCACCACGGCCTTCCCAGGGCTGGGCTCGGGCCAACCCAGGGAAAGGTATTCTGGCAGGGCTGCTGGCAGCATCTCTTTAGCCTGCATTTCGCTTGGCTTTTGTCCTTCTAATGGAGGGGTTTGGTGTGGTCCTTCTGCAGGGGCCAGGACAGAGAAGAGCATGGTTCAAAGACACCTCCACCCAGCCAGAAGCGGAAGGAGCAGCGGGTACAAGGGCATCATTTTCTTTGGAAGAGATGGAGCCAGGGAAGCACAGCAACCAGCCAAACAACTAACCCAGCCTGTGCCCAGGGCTGCTCTGTCCTGCCCAACATCACCCCTTGGCACCCACCTCAAATCTTGGCAAAACATGGGGGGAAAATCCCAGGAGCTTGATGAGGCAGGATGGGGTGCTGGGGATGCAACCCCCTCCATCCAAGACAACCATTAAGGAACTAAACCCCAACTGGGGGCAATGGAAACACCTCCCTGCCCCAAGCCCCTGGAGCATCTCCCTTGGGACAGGCAGTTGAGGCTGGGCAGTGTGCCACCAGCCTCTGCCCCGGGGTGCTCCCCTCCCTGCCCCCCCAGCAGCGCAGCCAGGGCAGGAAGGAGCTCGGAGATGCCGGCCATGCCGGGATGAAATGGGGCAGGAAGCTGCTGGCCGGGACGAGGGGAGGGGAAAGGAAGAGGAGGCATTTCGGCTTTTGTTAACCACCCCGGCCCCTCCAGACGGGAGGGGAAAGAGGTGACCCCGGGCCCCCGACCCCGCAGCACGGTGCAGGGGAGCCATGTAGGGCCGCTGCTGTGAGCACCCGCCTGCAGCCCCGACGGGCTTTGCTTTGAGGAGCTGTTTATAAACAGAGCCGGCGTGTGCTAGGAAACATCTGGAGAAGAGCATTTCCAAGCATTCAAACGCAGGGACCAGGCAGCCCAGATAAAAAACTCGGCTTCCACCAGGACTTCCCTTGCTGGCCCAGCACAGGGCACTCCGGCCACACCTCCCTGCCTCGCAGGCCACCAGCCCCAGCTTGCAGAGCT